AAATTACCTGGTTATTCTTGCATTGCTGTTATATGAGTCTGCTGTGTACAGATTGGCTGTTGCATTTCCTGCACCTGAAAAGGACTTTATTGGTTGCAAAATGATTTGAAAAGACTATTGGCCATGAAAAATACTAGAATTGCAAGCTCTTCTTTTCTCCTACAAGATTCTTTACAATCCCCATGTGATTCATTCAAAGTTTTCATTGTTCAATGCCTTTCCACATCTATTACTGCATTATTTTAGCTTGAGATATTGTCCCTTGTCTCTCCCTTCAGCCTCATCCTTAGGGATTTTAACATAGATAGCACCCATGTCAAACAGTAATGATTTCCAACAAGAGAGAGTTCATTCGTTTCTCCTTAACCGTCAACAACATTTCTATAATTAAATTCTCTCTACCAATTCTTACAAGATTCAAGTCAGGAGTGAGATGAATGATTCACCACTCACCTGGATAAGGGCTGGTGTAACAACAACTCGAGCTGCTTGACGCCATCCAGGACACAGCAGTTTGCTTGATTGATACCCTTGATATTGGACTGAATATCCATTCTCTCTAACATTAGACAATGTGCCTTTCAATCCATCCTAGCAAACCTATTTTGACAGCATCCCCCAGCCTCATGCTGTCTTTCCCCAGAGAGAATAAGAATATCTATGTCCTGGGCATTACCAAGCTCTCCACCGAATCAAGCAGCATCCCTGACTTGAACATATATCACAATTCCTTCTTTAATATTGGATCAATGCTGTGCAATGCCCTACCTTATTTCATTGTGGAAGCACCATCATTACAAGGACTACCACAGTTTACAAATGACTGCACCATTGTCTTGTGGCAATGGAGTTAGACAGTAAATGTAACTTTGTAAGCATTGGCTATGTTATGAGGTCAAATAAAAATAAATCAACAATCATTTGGATGCAAAAACAAACCAGTAGCCAACTTTTTTCAATCATCCGACATTCATTCTCACCAACCTTCTTCTGAAGGCCTAAGAACATAATAAATAAGAACAGGAGGAGTATTCAGCACTTCAAACCTGCCCCATCATTCAGTAGGATCATGGCTGATCTATCTCAGGCCTCAACTTCTCTTTCATGCCCATTCCTCGTAGCCCTCAACTCCTGATATTTCAATAATGTGCGTACCTCTTCTTTCAATACTTCCATTTATTGAGCCTCCACAACTGTCCAGGGTAGAGAATGTCAAATATTCCCTACCCTCTGGGAGAAGGAATTCCCTTGCATTATAGCTTTAAATTGAATGTCCCCTTATTCTGTAACTATTTCCCCAAGTTCAAGACTCCCCCATTAGCGGAAACTTGACAAATACCCTGTCAAGCCCTTTCAGAATTTGCATGCTTCAGTAATAACACCCTCATTCTTCTAAAATCTAATGAATAAAGGCCGAAACCATTCAATCATTCTAGACAAGTCAACCTCTTCATCCCAGGAATCAGCCTAGTGATTCTCTTTTGAACTGCCTCCAATGTCAATAAATCCTTTTTTAAACGATGGGGACCAAAACTGTACACAGCACTCCAGGCTACTCACCAACACCCTGTGCAATTGTAACAAGAGTTCCCTATTTTAAACTCCAAAGTCTAGCAATAAAGATTAAAATTCCACTTGCTTCTTATTTGCTGTGCTTGCTTCCTAACCTTTTTTGTGTGTCATGCACAAGAGCATCCAGATCCCTTTGTACTGCAACTTTTTTAGATTTGTCGCCATTTAAGTTATAGCTTGCCTTTTGACTCTTCCTAACAAAATAATGACCTCACACTTTCTGACGTTTACCCTACTCACTCAATCCATTTCCTTGCAGATTCCTTATGGCCTAACAAAGAGCTAATGGATATTTTTCCTCATTGTTGGTCCATGTAATCAATGTGGAGAATCAGAATAACCAATTTGTTCCCTGCTTTGAGTTGTCATTGCCTGTAAAAAAGAAACAGTCAATACAACTGGTCAGGGGCTGTAATGAGCATCCCTCCTCCATGGCAAAAGAGGCAGTAAGGATAATTATATAACCTGTGCTATCCTATCAGGAGTTTGGTTAGCTCAGTTGGCTGGACAGCTAGTTGCAATGCAGTGATGCTAACAGTATGATTTAATTCCTGCTCCAACTGAAGTTATCATGAAGGATTCTCCTTCTCAACCTCTCCCCTTGCCTAAAGCATAGTGACACCCAGGTTAAACCACCACCAGTCATTTCCTTAACGAGAGAACAGCGCTATGGTCTGCTAACACGATGGCAACTTTACCTTGCTATTTATTTGTGGCAGCTTGCAAATGAAACAGAGAGGAAAGGAGTATTTGGCAGTAAAGGCCAGCACCTGTTAATGGATATATTGTGAATTGAAGTTGCTACAAAAGCTAAAATTGACCATCTATTTACTACATAGGTCTACAAATATCCTAAAGTTGCAAAGAATACTTGATACTAAATGTATTTGCTATGCCATTTAGGAACATAAGAACACAAATAGATCATTCAGCCTTAGCCCGTTTTGGCATTCAATTCAATCATATTTGTATCATTATTCCTCCATATCTCATGCTACCCTTACCTAAAAAAGAGTGTTTAAGATGAAGTCGACCAGCTTCCAAAGTCAAAGAGTAGAAACTAAGTCCGTGAAATGATCTCTTAATTTGAATCTTTAAGCCAGGATATAATTTTATAAGAAATGAAAGAACTGTGGATGCTGTAACAAAAACAGAAGTTGCTGGAAAATCTCAGTAGGTCTGGCAGCATCTGTTAAGAAAAAATCAGAGTTAATGTTTCAGGTCTGTTGACTCTTCCTCAGAATTTTATAAGTCTGTGTTGTATCCAATAACGTTCAATTGTTCTGTGTTTGATTATGCAAGTCTACTTCCTATTGATGTTCACAGTGCTTGACTGGTTATGCTTCGGTATGGATTCAGAGAAAACTTAAGCACAACTTAGCAAGGCCTGGAAACTAATCCTAAAGCATAGAGTAGACATTTTGAGGTATTATAAAGAAAACCTCTTATTTACGTACAAACATCTGTTGTCTCTGGAGAAATAAAATATAAACACACACATCTAGATTTTAATAAAATTTTCCTGAGGCTTGGTGTCCAAAGCTAAATGTTATTTCCCAAAAAAAACCTATCCAAGGCTCCGTACAACTGAACCATCATTTCCTCAATTATGTTTTCTTGCCCCTCATAATAAAAGCTGACATTCCGTTAGATACATTGATTACTTTTTATAACAGTGCATTATCTTTGTGTTCTGCAGGCATGGATACCGACAATCCTTTGCTCTATGACATCTGCTTGTTTTGTGTAATGTAACAATATTTTGATTTGTTTTTCTCACATCCAAAGTCAATGGATCATCTCACATATCCAATTTTGAACTCCATCTGCCATGGTTTTTTCAATTCAAATGGTCTGCCTGCGTCCTTTCTAACTTCCTACTCCCATTTGCACAACTTATTGTACCTTCTGACGAAGGTTATCTTCATTTGCATCAAATCACTGAGCATCCACACATTTTGTTTTCACTGAGGTCCTGCATAAGAGATTGACATGTAAACTTAAAGCGCATAGGATTGAGGGTAATGTACTGACATGATAGAAAAGTGGATGGATTGAGGCAGGAATCAAAAGAGTATAAATAAGTGGGTCATTTTCCAAGTGGCAGCTAGTGACTAGTGGGATACCACAGGGATCAGTGTTTGGACCCCAGCTATTCACAATACATATTAATGATTTAGATGAAGGAACTAAATGTAATATCTCTAAGTTTGCAGATGACATAAAGCTGAGTGGGAATGTGAAAAGTGAGGAGGATGCAGAGATGCTGCTGCGTAACTTGGACAAGTTGAGTGAGTGGGCAAATATATTGCAAATAAATAAATATGATGTAACCAAATGTGAGGTTATACACTTTGGTAGCAAAGACAGCAAAGCAGATTTTTTTTTTGAATGGCAATAAAATGTGAAAAAGTGACTGCATCGAGATCTGGGTGTCTTTGTACACCAATTGCTGACAGTAAGCATGCCAGTATAGCAGGCAGTGAAGGGAAATGGTATGTTAGCCTTCATAGTGAGAGATCCAAGTACAGGAGTAGTACAGTAGCTGCAATTGTACATGTGAGACCACACCTGGAACACTGTGTGCAATTTTGGTTTCCTTATTTGAGGAAGGATGTTCTGGCTATGGAATGAGTATAACAAAAGCTTACCAAATTGATCCCTGGGTTAGCAGGATTGATGTATGAAGAGAGACCGGAACAGTTAGGATTATATTCACTAAAGTTTACACAAATGAGGGGATCTCATAGAAACCTATAAATATACCATCTGGATGAGATAGAGTAAACAAAGGAAGGATGTTCCTGATGGAGGAAGAGTCTAGAACCGGGGTCATAGTCTAAGGATATGGGGTAGGCCATTTAGGATTAAAATGATGAGAAATTTCATCATCCCAGAGAGTGATGACCTTGTGGAATTCTGTGCAATGTTTGCAAGAAGCAGTTAGGCATATTTTTGGGGTTGAAGCGTTCAAAGGATAAGGAGAGAATGTCGGTATAAGATATTGTGTTGGATGATCAGCCAAGATCTTACTTAATGGCAGAGCAGGCTCAAACAGTTGAATGACCTACTCATGCTCCTATTTTCAATGTTTCTCTGAACATAGTGATCTTCCACATAAATAAGTATATGTGAGTAGAAAAAACCTACCCTATTTTGACATGAGTTTATGAAAGAGTGGCAACAAAGAAAAGGTTTCTCTAGTGAAAGTTTTAGGGGTGTATCAGGCCTTCCTTGACTGTAAAAACACTTTATGATTAATCTTTGTGTTTACACTAATCAAGATAAATGTGTTAAACTTAATTATTTAGTGAACAGTCATTCTTAAAAGCAAAGAATGTGCTAACATCACAGTAGACTCTAAATTGGTACCCTTCATTTCTCTGTTAGAGATATGGCTGTACTAAGTTGCTTTTATGCATTTTCAGATTCCTGGGAGTATGTCTACGATCCATACCCTCAGCCAGAGAAAGGTACTGCTTGGAATGACCTTTGCTGAAACTAATGATAAAACGTGAATTATATAGTCATCCTGCTGCCTATTGATATGTTCATAAGTAATCTATTAAGATATAAAGTAAATAAAAGCTCTTTTTTAAGAAGAGTGTCCCAAATAACATTTACCATTATGGAGTCATGGATTTATAAATGTAGCCCCGCTTTGTCATTGATTTGAAACAATCTTCAGTAAATGGGCCATGGCTGTCATTACCATATTTGGCTTTTGCCTCAGGGATGTATGATTCAGACTGAATTGACATATCTGAAGGGTCCTTTGGGCTGGTAGGCTGCACTGATGAGCTGCAGTGAATTTAACGCTCAGGTCTCATTAAAATTTGCTAGGTGAGGTACACAGCATCAAACAATCTGTTTCAACTCACTGGGCTGAGGACTCAAGACCAAGGCAGGGGATCTATCGATAAAAGTTTTCAAAATCACGAGGGATCTACACGGATTAGATAGAGAGAAACTGTTTGAAGTGGCTAAAGGGTCAAGTACATAGACTTAAAAACATTGTCAAAAGAATCAAAGGCAACAAGTGGAGAAGTTTTGCATGCAGCAAGTGGTTACAATCTGAATGTACCACTTGAAATGGTGTTGGCAACAGATTTGGTCATGTCTTTCAAATGGAAATTGAATAAGCACCTGAGGATATGTTCAAGTTAGATAGTTTCTAATACGCTAATCACTACACTAGAAACACATTCTGTCAGTGGTTGTTTTGTCATGTTGCTCATCAAGGGCCTTGTATACTTGAGGACAAATAGAGTGCTTGTGCCTGGAATCGTTGGAAAAATGGCAGACATCAAAGTGGGAATTAGCTACTTGAGATCTACAATGAAGGCATAAGTTGGAACAGGCACTGAGTGAGCTCTCTAGCTTATTATCTACAGTAGAGGTCAAAATTAAAGAAACCTCTGTAAAGTTTAAAGTAACATTGCATGACTCACACCTGACTTGCCAAAGCCTGACCATCATCTACAAGGCACAAATCAAGAGTGTGACTGAATTCTCCCCATTTATCTGGATAGGTGCAGCTCTGACAATACTCAAGAAACTTGACAACATTTAGGACGAATAACCTGTTTGATCAATACACATCCTTCATGATTGACACAGTGACAGCAGCATATACCATCTACAAGATGCACTGCAGCAACTCACAAAGAGTGCTTCAACAACAGCTTCCAAACCAATAACCTCTACTGCATAGAAGGACAAGGGATAGCAGATACATGGGACCACTATCACCTACAAATTCTCCACCAATCCACACACCATCCTGACTTGAAAATATATTACTATTTCTTCATTATCACTGGGTCAAAATCCTGAAATTTGTTTCCTAACAGTGTTATACCAATACCACATAGATTGCAGTGGTTCAAGAAGCCAGTTCAGCACCAGCAATAAATGTTGACCTAGTCAGTGAGGTGCACTACTTGTAAATGAATATGAGGGAAAAAAAGACATTGTGAGCGCAGAGCAATTCAGCTTGTGGTGCTGAGGCAGATCAGAAGCTTTTGAGTATTGATTCTAAATAACATTGGATATGTTTGACATTCTTATTATACGTTACCAGGTTTTTTTTCCACAATTAATTGCGTTGTTTTACCTGTAAAACATATCAGATATAGGGTTAAAAAGTTCATGTTTTACCCTTTTTTTGTTGCTTTTATTATACAAATACATTTTTAAACTTCCATCACAGCATTTATAATTCCTGATAATGATTTCTCTCTGTTGTCATGCCACAAGTCTTTTCACATCATTGAGAAAGACTTCCAGATAGTCAGCAGAGACACACACTGAATGACCTGTCTGCTGTCAATCAGGAAAATACCTTTGGGTATAATATGCCTGTGCCTGACTCTAAAATATGACATGGTTTGCTATAATCAGAAATGAGGCCGCCTTTCATTGCATTCTGACGGTTGTAGTCAGCAGAATTGGCACTGGTTGGAGCAGTTGAACTCTGGGAGTTGAAATATATTAAATATTGTGACAATGATTGCAGTGGGTATCTTACGAACTCCATCAGCAGCCAAAAACACAGGACTCTAGAGGGAAACATTTTTTTTAAAACAACTGTGAAAGGATGTTATGTGAGGTTATTTTGAATTATGTAGCTTTTCAATGTGCTTTATAGGTGTCAGCTTTTGTACAAAATGGCAACTGAAAGTAGTTGCAAAATGTTGTTGACTGATTGGCAATTTTGTTTTCAACTTGCATGTCGTTTTATGGTTGATTCTGGATTATTTACACTGGTAGTTACTGCACTGCTTCAGTTCATTGGTATTTCTGCACGATCAGTTTGAACTCTGAGTGAACAGAAGAGTGACATCAGCCAGTTGGATGTACATCTAACATATATTTGCATGTGAAAAATATTCACATGTGATTAGCCAAGATATTTGCATACAGACTGCTGAAAATTTTACATCATTAGTGATTAAAACTGATGTGGCACTTTGTAAAAGAAATTAAAAGTAGAGTTTTAGTTTTCTAAGTCATCACTCTAAATACCTTTCAGACATAAGCGATCAATCTATTCTGCTGTAGCTATCATCAAGGTCCTTGACTTGTTTGATCAGCTGCTTGCATGCCAACTCTGTTAATAACACTTAGTGCTTATTTGACAGTAAATACACCTGCTACAGGATGGACCTTTTCTCAGACCAACATTGAAATGTAAACTAAAAACTTAAATTTGTCCAAATTTGTCTGTTTCTGATTTATTTTATCAGATTGACACCATTTAATTTTTACATTTTAAACAAATGACTGAATGAATGTGCAGTTGGTCAAAATTCCCTTTTGCATTCAGATGATGCCCTAATTCTTTCTATTCTACATGAATACAGAGTTCAAGATACCCATGGCTCAGTCTCTACTGTTAGGCAGATATAGAAATTCCAGTGTAGCAATATTGATCAATCAACAAATATCAGCAAATCTGGTCATTCTGTCATTGCTGTTTGTGGGATCTTGTGCATATTAGCTGTCTTGTTCCAACAAAAGTCTGCAAAGTGTTTTAGGATAGCGTGTGACTATCATTCTGTTTATAATTAAGGCCAGAATTTCCCCTTTGGAGCAGGAATTGTGAATTAAGATTTTTCTTTAGTTGTGATTTCACCTCCACCCTGCCAGTGCCCACTCTCAACTTCCATGCTGGGTGATAGTGATAGGCAGCAGTAGAGGAAGGGTTTCACTTGAACCAGGCCTAAGTCAGGAACAGAGGTAGATAAATGCAAAGGTGCATCGTGTATAAGCCCAGCCTCTGATCTCAGGGACATCAGCCCAGTTCTCCATGCCTTTCAACATCCACCCCCACCCATCCCTCAATGCCTCCTCCATAACCACACATTCCTATGTCCCCTATCCCCTATACCCCATCTATCTTCTCCTTACCACTGCATCTTCATGGCTACTCACCCAATATCCATTATGGAGATAGTGCATGATTCCTTTAATAACATTGAAATCCCCCACACAAAGTACATTTTGTGCCCTTGCCATCCTCAGTGCTTCCTCTAAGTGTTGTTCAAAACGGAGGAGTACTGATTCATCAGCTGAGGGAGGATGGTACGTAGTAATCAGCAGGAGGTTTCCTTGCCCATGTTTAACCTGAAGCCATGAGACTCCCAGGGCAACTTCCCCTTGATTGTATACCACTGTGCCACCACCTCTGTCAAGTCTGTCCTGCCAGTGGGACAGAACATATCCAGGGATGGTGATGGTGGTGTTTGGGACCTTGTCTGTAGGTATGATTCCATGAGTATGACTATGTCAGGCTGTTGCTTGACTAGTCTGTGAGACAGCTCTCCTAATTTTGGCACTAGTCCCCAAATAATAGTAAGGAGGACCCTATAGGGTCGACAGGGCTGTTTCTGTCGTTGTCTTTTCTGGTGCCTAGGTTAATGCCAAGCGATCTGTCTAGTTTCATTTCTTTGAGACTGCTCCATCCTACCACCTACCATTCCTGGAGCAACTTGCCATTCACCAGAGATCCGAAAAATGACAGACATCCTTGGCACCAGCACCATATTTAAAACGCCATTGAGTACTGGATAATTACTGTCAGCCTGGAGATGCAGATTCTGACGTCTGCCCTGGGCATGTCAGACAGGTGGAAATCTGCTCTTTGTTGGTGGGCACTGCCCTGGTCCTCTGTCTGGACTTCGTCTTCCAGCAGTGGAAGCCACAACACCTGATATGCCAGCCTGAAATGAAGTTGCTCTGGGGTTGAAGCAATCTCAGCCGTCTGGAGGAATGCCCAGCACTGCAGAAAGAAGGTCAACATTCTACTTCACAGTGCCAGTGTAAATGCCACCACATCTCTCCAATTTGTCACACTCACTTGATCTCTGCTACTGTACCCACCTCCACCATGCTCTAATACTTTTGCTAATGTGTGCAACATCTTCTCCACTCAACCTCACCCATCTCAAACAGTGACACTAACACTGCATGCCCTCTGTGTTGCCGATTCACTTGCTCAGGACACTTCCCTTTCTGCATTAACAGTAATAGCTGTGCCGCCCACTTTAATCTTATATAATTCCTGTCTCTATCTTATTACAGGAGCAAAACAGCCCAAAGTAGGGCAAAAAGACTCAAAATGGGTGATGCGCTGCCCTTCTATCAGCTACTCACCCATTGGGAGCAGACGATCCTTACTCTGGCTGCCCATCCAGGATTTGGAATGGTATCAGAGGCTGCCCTTGACTAACTGCGCCAAGACCTTCAGAGCAAAGGCTGTCTCCTTTGACTGGACTGAGGCTGCTCAAAACCATAGTAAGCTTCCTGACTTTGCTTCTGTGCTAAATGGCACAACAAGACAGCAGAAACATGCGCAAGGTATTTTTGACAAAGGGGGAAATGCGCAAAAAGGTGTGGCAATACAAGGCAGGGATGCTGCCAGCATGAGGTAGGCTCAGAGTGGTTAAGTGCTATAACAGAGAGTGAAGAGGCCAGAGATGTAGCCTGGTCCAGTCCATGAGTTGGATGTGTGTCCCTGGGCGCAAAGTATCCTTGCAGCAGCATTACAATAATACTTGCTGGTTCAGACTGCGGTGCAGCATTGAAGTGCAGAAATGTCCTGTAACTGGATCAAAGATGTGCCATGAGATTTCACAGAGGCTGACACATGTCAGGTGCCACTGTCCATGGATGTGTGCTGCATGCAGCCATTGCCAAAGATGGCATGCCTGAGATGCTGGTGCCCAGTGTTCAAGTTGAAGTTCTTTTGGAGCAAATAACCAATTTATCCTGCTCTGGTTTCCATGTCAAGTTTTCTTAATGGCTAGTTTGCATTGTTAGTTTGGTCAGATTGCAACCCCTGGTGTGTTGATTGTTCACAGGTTGTTTTACAAGCAACAATGTGCATCAGTTGGGAACTCACTGCTGCCTAGTGAGGATCCCACCATACTGTTTGGGAAAAGTCTTCAAGATGTTGCACGATGATCTCAATGTTGAGATAGGCCTTGACAAATATCTCGCCTGATTCTACCATTCATCTCACTATCCCTCATGTCCTTCAACACCTAATAAGACTGCACCCTATGTCTCCTGGTTCTAAACTCACCAACCACGAGAAATATCCTATTTGCATCCATCCTGTCACATGTAAGAACTCCCTGCCAAAATGAACTTGTAAAATACAATGAAATAAACTCTCATTCTTTGAAACTCTCTGGAAGTTTCCTCAATCTTTCCGCATAGGACAATCCTTCTATTCTATGGATTAATCTGGTGAACTTGCATTGTACTCGTTCTATGGTAAGTCTAACACCCCTTAGGTAAGGAGACCAAAACTGTACACAGTACACCAGATCTGGTAACATATTGCTGTATACAATTGCAGCAAGGCATATTTACTCTTGTACTCAAATCAGCTGCAATGAAGGCAAATGTGTCATTTCTCTTGCTAATTACTTACTCATGGACAGGATAGCTAAGTCCCTTTGGACATCAACATTTGCCGACTAACCATAATTAATGAAATACTTGTTTTTTTTACCAAAGTAGATAACTTTACACTTTTTTGCATTAGTTTCCATCTGCCATGTTCTTTCCTATTAATTTAGTCCTTTTCAAGTCTCCGTACATCCTCTGTACAGCATACATTCCTACGCAGGTTTGCGTTATTGGCTAATTTGGAAATATTACATTTGGTCCCCATATCCAAATCATTAAATAAATTGTGAACAGTTGTGGTCCTAGCACTGATTCTGTGGCATCCTACACATAATAGCCTGTAATCCTGAGAATGACCCATTTATTCCAACTCTCTGCTTTGTCTGTCAATTCCATCCATACCAGTATATTACCCCCAGTACAATATGCACTAATTTTGTTTACTAACCTTTTTTGTGAAACTTTATCAAAAGCCTTATGAAAATTCAAATACACCACATCCATTAATTTTCCTTTATCTGTGCTAAAAGCAACATTATCAAAAGAAACAGAAGTCTGAATCTGTCATCAGTAAAATATATTGTAACCAACCATAAGTGATCCAGGGAGAAACCCTATTACCCATAGCTTATATGGAATGTGACTTTGGCTGTAGGCCCACATTTTGACCATATGTGAATATTTCTTTTTTTATGACTTTCATTCTGGCTAGAGTTGTTTTATGATAATATTCTGTAAGGTTTTATACTTTTTCCAGGCTATTAAGTGTGTGTTGATGGGTGATATTTTTCTAGTTGCATATATATGTGCACTATAAACCTTTTGTTAACAACTTTTGCATTTTGCTTGTCTAGGTTTTTTGTGAGCTGGCTGGCTCCTTTCTAATACTGAGCTGTATACAGTCTAATCTATATAATAAGCAATGTCGGTTTTGTTTCAAATTCAAACTGTTGTGACCAGTGGAGCAATGGGCAAGGAATCAGTCCATTCCTCCCAACTTGGTCATAACACAAGCAAACATAATGAGATTCTATTGTGCAACTGTGTCAACAGAACCTCCAGAGATGAATAAATTAAAAGCTTTCAATTTGTGGAACAACTCGCTATTTGAACAGAAAGCTGGACTATAAACAAAGAACGTAATTTAGTCAGCTATCTCAAATCTTAACACGTTTGAGCTGCTAATCAAAGTAAATATGAAAGCACAGAGTCCAATTTACATGTTAAAATCTGAATTTCAATATTGTTGAATGCAGAGGAGCATTTCATCCACTGGAAAATGTATTTTAATGTATTTGAACACTTTTACAATGCTGGTCAATTTTAACGGTCAAAATACCTTTTAAGAAGAAAGAGCTATCATCAATCATTGCATTCGAAACATTCACAAAGTATCGCACAACATTGAATTATTACGTGACGTTGAATAGCAAAGAACAAATTAAACTTACCTTTCAGAAAGTGCGTGACTTGAGAACAGGATCTCCCTGGTGTTTCATGATTCCTAAACACAGACCTCTTCCCCATTTCAAAAAAGAATCTGACATGGTTCTCATGAAATTCAGAAACCCACCCAAATTGCTGAAAATCTCACATTCAGTGGCAGCAATATGGCAGTCCCAATGTCAGTTTGCATGCACTCAAAGGTAACACAATTCCTGCAGCAAGCAAATGACAGGCATCAGGAACAAGGTTGCAAATTCATATGTTCAGTACCACAACTTCCATTTCCATTCTGCAGGTTTTCTTCAAATCAGGGTCGTAAAATTCAGTCCTTGGAAAATTTATTTTTGCCCTTTGAAAATCAATGTCTATCCTGTTTTTTTTTGTAATGATCCCAATTAAAAGGTTATTTTTTTCACTTTCAGATGGATGAATCCACCAACCCAGAGGATTAAACACTCTGATATGTGTATGTACGATATATCTGCTTAATACTATTCTTTTTATTGATTTATTTAGCACATATTTGATTGTTTCATTTAATCTCTCTAATCCATAATATCTGTAGTGCAGAATTCTGACACTTGCCAACAAACAGCAACCATTCTCGAACACAGAAACTAGGGTTCCTTGGATGATGACATCCTGTTACTAGTATGAACAGGCCATCTGCTGAAAAGACACATGACTATCCCAACTGGAAAGGTTTCCATTCAATAATGAACAGGTGGTATCTAAAACCAGGAATGTTATCACAGATGTCTGTGCCAATTGCCAGAGCAGTTCCCATGACTTTTATCCTTGGCAGCTTGGAATTTAACAGGAAGATTATGGATTTTATGGTTATTGGGTACACCATATCACAGATATCATAATGTCGCACACATTTGGCATATTAAAAATTATGTTCAGATGTTTACATTTCACAGGGATTAGATCAGAATGCAGCCAAATATGTCAAAGCCAATAACTTATTCAATCTGTCATAGAACTAGAACAGAGGTGGCCTACTCTTCCTCAGGGGTTAGTTGAACCAAGTGCTGGACAGTTTTTTTTCTAGATACTAGTCAATTTTTCCATTAACCCATTTCTCTCAGCAATTCTGACTTTTTTTTAACTTTCCATTTACATCATTTTATTTTTGTGAGAATGCATTCAATTTGGATTATTATTTGCTGTGCTAAATAGGATTTTTCTTTTTTTCATTTCCAGCATTCATCAAAAGAAAAACACTTTCGAACCATTCTGTACCTTAGGCAGTTTGTATAATACCCTTTCAGCTCTTGGATCTGGATTCAAGTTTAATCCATATTGATGGCATTTGATCGAATGAATTTGTGGATGCAAGATCATAGAGACAAACTACACATACTTCACCACTAATTTTTCAATACTTGATACCACTTACAGAACATATTTAAGCAGCTGGTTTAGAAAATAGAAGTATGTTCTTTAGAGCCAGGTATAATGATGTCAGGAATGGTATCCTCTGCATGTTATAACATAGATTAAAATGTCTATTAGTTCATTAAGTGCATGTGATTTTTTGACACATTGCAGTGACATAATTTTACCCCATTATTGAGGAAGAATATAAAAAGCATTATTTTACCAATAACATATGCTCACCTTTTTAGCTCAACATACAGCAAACTCTTGTATTGAAATGCATAATTGGCACATATATATCTATATCAGCATATGTAATAAAATAAACATCATCCAGAAATGTACACAAAGTTATTAATATAGGGATAAACTTACATCTGAGTGATTCTCATAGAATTCTAACAGTGCAGAGAGAAGCCATTTGGACCATCAAATCTGCACTGCTTTGAAGAGCTTCCCACCCAGACTGTCATCCCCACCATAATCCCATATCCCATAACCCTGCATTTACCATGGTCAACCCACCTAACCTCATATCTTTGGACTGTGAGAAGAAACCAAAGCATCCGACGGAAACCCACACAGACAAGGAGAGAACATGCACAAAACTGTCCACACAGTGGCACAAGGCTGGAATTGAATCTGGGTCCCTGCAAAGCAGCAGTGCTAAGCCACTGTGCTGCCTCTCATAGTAAGAAGCTCAAAGATTCATGGAATGAATCCATAGGCCTTACTGAAGATTTGGATGAAGTTGCCAGCATCTGCCCCACTCAATCATTACCATCAAGCCAGGGGATCAACCCTTGTTCAACGGAGAGTGCAGGGGGGCATGCCAGGAGCAGCACCAGGCATACCTGAAGATGAGGTGTCAACCTGGTGAAGCCACCAAACAGGACTACTTGCATGTCAAACAGCGAAAGCAGCAAGTGATAGACAGAGCTAAGCGATCCCACAACCAACGAATCAGATCTAAGCTCTGCAGTCCTACCACATCCAGTTGTGAATGGTGGTGGGCAATTAAACAACTCACCGGAGGAGGAGGCTCCACAAATATCCCCATCCTCAATGATGGAAGAGCCCAGCACATCAGTGCAAAAGATACGGCTGAAGCATTTGCAGCAATCTTCAGCCAGAAGTGCCGGGTGGATACATCTCGGCCTCCTCCAGTGGTCCCCAGCATTACAGATACCACCCTTCAGCCAATTTGATTCACTCCACGTGATATCAAGAAATGGTTGGAGACACTGGATACTGCAAAGGCTACGGCCCTGACAACATTACAGCAATAGTACTGAAGACTTGTGCTCCAGAACTTGTCACTCCCCTAGCCAAGCTGTTCCAGTACAGCTACAACACTGGTAACTACCTGACAATGTGCAAAATTACCCAAGTATGTCCTGTACACAAAAAGCAGGACAAATCCAACCTGGCCAATTCCCGCCCCATCAGTCTACTCTCGATTATCAGGAAAGTGATGGAAGGTGTCATCAACAGTGCTATCAAGCAGCACCTGCTCAGCAATAACCTGCTCAGTGACGCCCAGTTTGGGTTCTGCCAGGGCCACTCAGCTCCTGACCTCATTACAGCCTTCGTTCAAACATGGACAAAAGAGCTGAATTCCAGAGGTGAGGTGAGAGTGACAGCCCTTGATATCAAGGCTGCATTCATTCGAGTGTGGCATCAAGGAGCCCTAGCAAAACTGGAATCAATGGGTATCGGCGGCAAACTCTCTGGTGGTTGGAGTCACCAAAGATCCTCAGACAGCATCTTCCAATCCCATGGGCACTTCCATCTAGAAGGACAAGGCCAGCGGATATATGGGAACACCACCACCTCCAAGTTCCCCTCCAAGCCACTCACCATTTGACTTGGAAATATATTGTCATTCCTTCACTGTTGTTGGGTCAATATCCTGGAATTCCCTCCCTAATAGCAATTTGGGTCAACCTATAGCAGGAGGACTGCAGCTTTTCAAAAAGGCAGCTCACCACCACATTCTCAAGGGCAACTAAGGATGGGCAAGAAATGCTGGCCAGCCAGCAACACCCACATCCCACAAATGAGTAGATAAAAAAAAACACAGACTCATTTTGGAAAGGGATCATTAAACCAGAGTGAGTTTCCAATTTACATACTTAAGGAGCCTTATGCCTATTTTTGGAGCTCACATGGAACATCCAAAACAAGATTCCCAAGTTTTTAGCAACAGGATACTGCTCCCTCAGGTTGAACATAGTCTCTCCCACTGCTAAACTGATAGACGTTGAAATTGTTTCATATGTGATAAAAGGGCTCAATGTGTATAAACGTCTCTTTCACACACCCACCCTATTGTTCTTGAGAAAAATAACAACTTGAACAATAGGGAGAGATTGCATCTACTTTATGATGGTCTTCTCTGGAATATATTTCTTTTCTTGGCAGCCAGTGACCATTTTCTTAAGGAAGACTACCAATCCATTTTGATGCTTTTCAATTATGCCTGTACATTGTTAGAGTTTACTGAGCACATTTAATCCATAAAGCTGATGTTAATTCAAATGATGAAGGTGATGTGCTGTAACCACCAGGTCATAGGCAGATCTTGAGAGATGACAATGTGAATCTGAGTGTTACATACAGCTTTTGGACTCTAACCACCAATGAGAAAACTAATGAAGCTTACAACAGAAGACCTAACAGCTGCTGATTCTACTTAAGTAGTAAATAGAGATGGTGCCAGTCAAGATACCGTAACACCCACACCTCCTTCTCAGCATCCGTCCCCCAAGCCCCCACAGCACCCTCTACCAGACCAGAAAATCATAACAACATTTGCTAGGAATGAAAGTAGAATACTTGTCAGGTTTCCTGTGAAATAAAATGACACATTTCATCAAATGTACTTCCTGACAAACAAGAGATTGGATTGTCAATTCCTAGTGTGGAATGCCCCACCTAGTGGTTTGATAAAGAAGAGATGAAAATTGTCAGACATTTGATTGATAGATTGGAGTAAACTGTTTAGTTGGAACTGCAGCATGCTACTGTGGCAGTATAAATTATCACTTTCCCTCCGACTACTGCGTAAGCCAAACACACTGCAATAATATTCTAGTCTTACTAGTCTGCATCATACAACAGTGAACTCATTAAGAACTGGACAAATTAACAATGCAAATTTAAATGTGTAATGCAATACCATAACAAAATCATTATCATTAAAATGATTACATATTCATATAGCACAATGTTATCTTGAATTCAATCCTGGTGTATGTTGTTGAATCATAATCTAATGAAACTAGTCTATGGTCATTACTCATTATGGCAGTTCAATACTGATGAGTTACAGGAAACTGTTTATACTATTACAAGTTCACCACTCACTCACTTTTGGTAACACATAAAACATTGTAATGTCAAATTCATTCTCCTACACTTTATGGTGCAGTTTTTAGTCAAAATGTGAAATAAAACTAAAAGGAATGACCAAATTCATTAAAATTAACTTACCTTTGGTCTTTCATTTTGGAAGCTTACAAAGTTTCCTCAATTAATTTCAATTATCTCCTAACAGTGATGCTTTAAGAGAAGAAAGTTGCCTTGAATATGTTGATTTTTTTCAAATGAACTGTTTAGAGGAAGCATTTTTTTGCTTCATGAAAGCTACTCGTCATGGGAAACCTGAGTAACCCTTTGAGTGCTGAATTTTCTCTGCACTGTTCAGCAGGGGACTAGGGATGTCTGTCTTAAAAAATAAAATCACGCTTGGATGAAATTGAAACTGTAAACAATGCATTTATTAAAAAATGGCTATCAGGTTACTCAAATTACATCTGCATTCTGTATTTATAAGAGCTACAAATGCTGATCCCTCAAGTAAATTTGCTAGCTTTCAAAATGCTGTTTGAGTCACGAAAATCAGTGCTGGGATTTAGAATAACTGTATCTAACTTCTTTCATTATTAGGAGCATGTTCTCGGTTGTTTAGAATATAAAGCAATCTTTTATCACCACTGTTCATCTTTCTTCAATTTGTGTTTCAATAATGAAATCGTACGATTAGCTGACATCAATTTGTAAGGGCTAAAAGGAACAACTAAAGCTGTGTTTTAAATCAAACTTTAAGAATTTACAGGGTCGCATTATCAATTTGACAGTCTAGTACTAGAACTTACAGTAAAGAGCCCTCCCCCACCCTAAACCCCTCCCTCAGGCTCAGATGAAACATTGTAATCACTACATGAATAAATGATGCTGACAAATTTAGACACCTAATAGGTCATTCTGTTCAGGGTGAAAACTGAGTGCTGACTGAATTATCCTAACTCCACCCCTTCCTCTCCTTTAATCCAGTGGGGTTGTTTTAATTATATTATCATTGATAATGGAGTGTTTTCTTTTACTGGTAATGCAGAAGAAAATAATAAACTCAGCTTAACGCAGAAGCAGCTAAGAGTCTGTCCCAGAAGAGCTGTCCAGCCCTAGCAGCAGGCTGTGTATGCTTTCTGCCATAAGTCTACTTCTAATGGCTCCAGACAATACGTACCTCCAAAGACCTCCTATTCCCCACTCAGCATGAGTGGTTGGAGATGCGGAACTGTAATAAGCCAGTAGTTGCACAGCATCAGATAGAGAGAGGCAGCAGCTGATTGCAGCTGGAGCATCTATTTGCCTGGGACAGTTCTAACGCATGTTCATGTAGCTGCAGTGAAGACTAAGGTTGGTTTGTTAACAGAATACTAAAACAAGGCGGCAGCAGAAGCTGTAGCAGCAGCAGCGGCAACAACAGAGGCAGTGTAATTCAGAATGAGAATGGACATCACTGAGAGGCAGGAAGCTGCTTGTGAAGTGCTTATGTTTGTGTGCGAGGCACCTGGTGTCAGCCTCTGTGGGATTTGGGAAAATTCAGCCTGAACTCAAGTTCCCTTCTATTCTTCCCTTCCAGACATCAGCCAGCTCCTGTGGAGGATGCCTAATAGGTAAGGAGAAAAATAAAAATCTCTCTCTTTTGGGTGTAAGAAAGGTCTTTTTGTGACAGCAGCAATACTTTGATAGTTGTTACGCGGCCTGGGTTGGTGATGGATTAGAAAGTTCCAGGCAATTTAATGGTGCTTCAGGACTTTGACAGCAGGTATAAGATATATGTGTGTATAG